TGGAGAAGCAGACTACGAAATATCAGCAAATTTAAGCATTCCAGGTATAGGTATCAGCTACGACTTGTTTTACTGATTAGTATCACTGCTCTGAGTTTCAAATCGGCTATTCCGTACCATCGGTGATAAATGGGTGTTGGTACATGTCAATGAGACAGAACCTCTATCAATTCGCCCTTAGCATTTAGAAGAAAATCATCGGCATTTTTCCAAGCAGATGGTTACTGCTGGCTTGGTGTTAATTTGCTGGATACTTTCGATCGTTATAAATATGAAATAGTAGAATAGAAGGGCTGGACTAAATATTATGTGCAAAACATGTTGGAGTGCAGTCTGTTTCATCCCTTAACTGTAAACACAGACCGAACTTTGCATCCGGGTAGGAGCAGGAATCATCAGTGCAGCCTCCTACCTTCCACAGAGTGAATGGCCCTGTGCCTAATTTGAAAGACGGATATGTGAAAAAAAAAGAAAAGGGAGAGAACAGACAGAGCGGGAGAAGAAAGAAAGAGAAAGATAACCCATGGTGCAGACAATCACTGTTTGTCATTTATGAGCAGCATTTTGTATGAGAATGATGAGCATATTATTCTGGGCGTTTAATTCCTGAATCAATAGGAAGGATGGATTTTCTGAGTACTTTATCGGTTCCTGAAGCGAAACCTGAGAACGGGACGTTATATTTTGGCAATATCAAACCTTCTACGTTTGTGGATGCTTATAAGCCATCTACCCTAGTCATGGAATCCCTCTGGAAAGATGCATACACAAGAGTTTAAACCTTTTGACTACAAGTACAATAAAACAAGCGGGCCTGACATAACGGCTACCACCAAGCGAGTGTGTCTTAGTAACACCGAGAATTGTGCGGTGGCAACCCAAATGATCTCAAGGAAATATTATGCATTAAATATAACTTGCCTGTGGTATTATCGAAATTCGCTTCCGCAGCAGCTTCAGAGGAACAGTCTTTGTATCAATATCATCGATAAATATTTTCCCCTCTGGTTCTGTGAGGCGAAAAAGTGCCCTCAAAAGAGAACTTTTCCCCGCTCCAGTCCTTCCGACTATTCCGATCTTCAAAAAAACAATGAATAACGTATTCGTCAAGTAGAACAAAATGTAAAACAGACGACTAGTCTGTTTTACATTTCTTTGGATTAGACAGTCGAGACCTCTCAATTCTTTGGACCGAATTGAGAGGTCTCGACTGTCCAATCGTAATTTGTTCAGTTATTTGGCTTCTAATATCCATACTTTTTTGTCTGCAAAAACGGAACCG